GTGAGGGAGAGTGGTGAGGGAGAGTGGTGAGGGTGAGTAGTGAGTGGTGAGGGTGAGTGGTAAGTGGTGAGGGTGAGTGGTGATTGGTGAGGGTGAGTGGGGAGGGTGAGTGGCGGTTGTTAGTGGTGATTAGTGAGGGGTGAGTGGTGAGGGTGAGCGTGAGTGGTGAGGTTGAGTGGCGAGCAGTGAGGGTGAGTGGTGATTGGTGAGGGTGTGATTGGTGAGGATGAGTGGTGAGGGTGAGTAATGAGGGTGAGTGGTTGTTGTGAGGGTGAGTGGTTGTTGTGAGGGTGAGTGGTGAGGGTGAGTGGTGAGCGGCGAGGGTGAGTGTTGAGGGTGAGTGGTGAGCGGTGAGGGTGAGTGTTGATGGTGAGTGGTGAGTAGTGAGGGTGTGTGGTGAACGTGACTGGTGAGTGGTGAGTGGTGAGGGAGAGTGGTGATTGTTGAGGGCGTGATTGGTGAGGATGAGTGGTGAGTAGTGAGGGTGAGTGGTGACGGTGAGTGGTGAGGGTGAGTGTTGAGGGTGAGTGGTGAGTGGTGAGGGTGAGTGGCGGTTATGAGTGGTGATTAGTGAGGGGTGAGTGGTGAGGGTGAGCGTGAGTGGTGAGGGTGAGCAGTGCGGGTGAGTGGTGATTGGTGATTGGTGAGGGTGTGATTGGTGAGGATGAGTGGTCAGGGTGAGTGGTGAGGGTGAGTGGTTGTTGTGAGGGTGAGTGGTGAGGATGAGTGGTGAGGGTGAGTGGCGGTTGTGAGTGGTGATGGGTGAGTGGTGAGCGGTGAGGGGTGAGTGGTGAGCGTGAGTGGTGAGGGTGAGTGGTGAGGGTGAGTGCTGAGTGGTGAGGGTGAGTGGTGAGAGAGTGGTTAGTTTTGAGGGTGAGTGGTGAGGTTGAGTGGTGAGCGTTAGTGGAGAGTGGTGAGTGGTGATTGGTCAGTGGTGATTGGTGAGGATGAATGGTGAGTAGTGAGGGTGAAGTTGAGTGGTGAGGGTGAGTGATGGTTGTGACGGTGAGTGGTGAGGGTGAGTGGTGAGAGTGAGTGGTGAGGGTGAGTGGTGATTGGTGAGTGGTGAGGGTGAGTGGTGAGGGTGAGTGGTGAGGGTGAGTGGTGAGGGAGATTGGTGAGGGAGGTTGGTGAGTGGTGAGTTGTGAGGGTGAATGGTGAATAGTGAGTGGGAGTGGTGAGTGGTGAGGATGAGTGGTAAGGGTGAGTTGTGAGTGGTGAATGGTGAGGGTGAATGATGAGTACAGTCAATATGCACTGCTGTTATCATACCAGGTACCACCACCACAATATGTACTCCTCTCATCATAGCAGATACCACCAGAGCATTATGCACTGCTGTAATCATAGCAGGTACCAACACAGCAGTATACACTGCTGTAATCATAGCAGGTACCAACACAGCAGTATGCACTGCTGTAGTGATAGCAGGTACGACCTCAGTCGGTATACACTGCTGTAGTGATAGTAGATACTGCTATTGAGTTGGTAGATACCGCTATAGTAAATACTAAAACAGTCAGTATATACCACTACAGTCAGTCAATACTGCTACAGTCAGTATATACTACTATACAGTCAGTACATACTGCTACGGTGAGTAGCTACTAGAGTCAGTAGATACTATTATAGAGTGAGTAGATACTGCTATAGATTTTGTAGTTACTACTATAGTCAGTGGATACACTATAGAGTCAGCAGATACTATACAGTTAGTCGTTACGAGTATATAGTCGGTAGATACTACTGTAGGCCCAGTAAATACTACTATGGTCAGTAGTTATTACAGTCACTAAATACTACTACACAGTCAGTAGCTACACATGGCTCAGTAGATACTACGGTACAGTCAGTAGATACTACTACAGAGTCAATAGATACCACTTCCTCTGTTGTATGTAAGGTGTTGTTAGTATATATACCTACGAGGGGTAAAGATATTTTTGAGGTGGGGGGGGGGGGGGGGAGACCACAATTTTCGGAAACATTTTGACATCAACTATTTACCCCACACTTTCTACAACTTTTTGGACTTGTGAAAGCCTCTTATATATTTGTTGGTGGAGAAATGTACAAACAGCCCATCGGGCTTTGACAATACATTAGTATCTGTGTATATATATGTAAGGTTTTTAAGAAATATATTTTTCACCCGGGCAAAGCCGGGTACTTCCGCTAGTCATATATATTTGAGATCTAGGCATAAAACACTTCAAGACGATCTCTGGTAGCATTTGTCACTCTTGGGGGTACTGATGAAACATTCTTTAGCCAATGATCCAGGAGCAGCCATTGAGTGAGTTGCTTAGAGATCGAGGAGCGGCTGCAAAGGATGGGGGAGGGGCTAGGGGGCAGGGGGTGTGGGAAATAAGGGGCGGGGCATTGGGAAGTACAGTACGTACAGTCGACGAGGGGGGCGTGAGAAATGGGGCGGGGCTGTGGGGGAGGGGCGTGGCTATATCTTGGGAAGTGGGTGGCCACTGTGCGCATGCGCGTGAAGCTCGCCGCGGCAAGATGGCGGACGGGTTGACGGGCGACGAGGAGCAGGTGAGGGTCGACGCGGAGGGAGACGGGGCGAGCGAGGAGGACGAGGAGGGGATGCGAGCCCTTACCCCGGGGCCACTTGGCTCGTGCCCATTTGGGCACGCGAGCGGCGTCGCCCCGGCCTGGGGTTGAAGGCTGCGAGGCCGGGTCCCGGGTCGGGGCCCCCCAGTCCGAGGTCTCGGGGCGGTGGGGAGAGGCCCAGGCCCAGTCCCAGGTCCCAGGTCCCCCGGGTCTCCTTCACGAGGCCCAAATTCACCGCGGAGGCACGCGGATGTGGGTTTTAAATGGAGTCCACCTCCACTACTGTCATCCTCCCTCATCGCTCCTTCCCGCATCGCTCTTTCTATCACTCGCTGCTCTCCTATCGCTCTTCGCTGCCTCCTGCATCCTCTGCCTCTTTCTGCATCACCCCCCCCTCACTGCCAGCTCCTGTCCGCATCACTCCCTCCTTCCGCTCACCACGCACTGCGTCACTCTCCCCTCGGAGTGAGCCTTGTACGGATTAATGGTCCAGGCGGTATAAAACTGGGGTCTTGGCCAGGGATTCTCAGCCGATTCGGACCCCGCGTGCCCCTCTCCGTCCTCCGCACTTTATTGGCGGACCCACCAAGCGACAGTCACGGGGGGTCTCGGGTCAACAGGAAACCCGGCCGGTCGCTCTGCGTTGGAGCTTGCGGCTCGCAATCACGGGGAGGTTGCAAGTTCAAAGCGTCGTTGGTGGGGGTTGGGAGTTGACTCTGCCCATCATCATTCCGGGGTCTATAAATTAAGTACCATGCTTTGGGAAGTCAACAGCGATTTGTCATATGGAATATACTCGCCCCCGCCAAGGGAATGTGGAATTTCTACCACTGGTTCTGCGAGATTGGCACCCCAGTGCCTTCTCGGTGCTCGTGTGAATACATCGACAAGATTTCCGTCAAGAGGCAGCGGCTGTGTTGATTGGTCGTGAACACAATGTCAACAGCTGTTCGGTGGGCAGTGAGGAGAATGTCGGAGTTTGTTTTTGACAGTAAATCATTGCATCTGCAACATTTCCGAGAATCGCTTCCTCCCCACGGCCTGAACGGCGGTGGCACGCGGGCTACCGAGTGCGACCGCTTCGCTGAGCCCTTCAGGGGATTATTGCCTTACGAGTGGATTCCCAAACCACATCCACAATCGGGTGCAGGCCACACGCTGAGACCGAGTCGCCAGATACCACCGTTTTCACATCCAGAGGCATTGGAAAGTTTGACGTGGATTTGGTGGAGAGTTATGAAAAAAAGTTGGGATACGTTCCCTGGACTTTTTTTTATCTATCAGGAAGGACCCGTGTCTTTAAAGAGATTGTCTTTGCCGATTGTCTGGCAGTTAACCAGCACTGGTTCAATCAAGCAAGACTGACTGCTCTGACTGCTCATGAGTTACTGTCGAAACCAGTCCAAAGTTTTTTGCTGCTAAATCGATGCAGCTGAAATTGTGCACTTTCAAAAGGCCGTGTGACTGCTAGGTTGTGAAAAGCATTTTACATTTTTCAATGTAGAGACATTTTAAGTAGTTTTATCGTACAATTTTTTTATCAGGAAGTGGAAAAAATGGATGAGGCAGGAAGCGGTAAAGTAATGGCTGTGTGAAGTAGGGGCCATCCATTTAGTAGGTACGCAACATCTGTCGGCTTGACCCCCCCCCCCCTTCCTTGTACGCACGCGTACTTTTTACCCCCCCACCTGCGTACATACGCTTGACGCACCCCCCCGAATCCTATTGAACGGCGGATATTTAATCCACGCTGAAACGATCAAGGATTAATAATATTAACGTGTTTAAGCAAACCGATAAGTCCACTGCCGGACTATCTAACTCATTTGAAGGCCAATGTAGACAAATTATTATCGAGGCTTCACCCCCCCCTCCTCCCCCCATTTCCTATGCGTACGTACATTGTCAGTAGACCCCCCATACGCAAGCATAAGCATTTGGGTTAACCCCCCTCCATGCGTACGTACTAAATGGATTGCGCCTAGGTGCTTGGGCGGCAGGTGATCGTGAGTGGGAATGAGCTGAAGGTGGTTGAAGGTCGATTCTTTGTTTGAATCCCGAGAGGAAGAGAATCAGAATGCTTTATCGTGTTCGACAAGGAAGGACGTGTTTTCAGATTTGGAGAGCGCCAGAAGAATGAGCAATGTGGAAGAGAGAATCGTGCCTTAGACTCCGGATCGATTACTGAATGAGTGAACCAGTGTTCCATGGGAATCAAGCTAATTACCCCGAGTTTTGTGAGACTTAACATTGCTGATGGTGGAGCTGAGTAGCGTATTCGGAGATTATTCTTATGCGTTTGGGGATCGGAGAACTTGAGGTTAAAGCGAGATACGTATGTGGTTTGTGTCCTTCCCATCTCGCTCAACACTCTCTGCCTGCCCCCTCTTTTCCTCTTCCTCTCGTGGCCCTAAATCGCCACGTGTGCATCTCAGGCTACCAAGCAGTTCCTGGAGGAGGTGAACCGCTGGCGCGAGCAGAATGGCGCTGCCCCCGTGTGCTGGGCCACAGCCGTCAAGTTCCTGGCCGCTCGCAAGTTTCACACGCAGCGTGCCATCGAGCTCTTTCACGCCTACCGGGTAGGGAAGCGCCCCGAGCGCGGAGGCACCCAACGCACTTGCTTGCCACTCTGCCTGTTGTGGCCCTCTCTGAGCGTGTTCGATTCCTGTTCAGGACCAATACGTGGCAAATATTTGAACTTGACCTGGGCATCATCTTAAATCAGTAAGGTGTGTAAACATCAGCATTGGGGAGACGAAGGCGGCTGGGCTTTGTGTTGACCACCCATCCCCTTGTGCGCCATGCTGACCTGCATAGGTGCTACTTGCTAACAGCTCTTGCCCCAACAGTCTGTTCAAGGCTATACAGGGGATATCTGTCTTCATCTCTGTGGGTGCTTGTGTGTGGTTGTGGCACAGCTGACACGCATCCGGGAGGGCATCTATGGGTTGCGGCCTGACGAAGAGCCCCTCCGCTCGGAGCTCTCCTCCGGAAAGTTCACAATCCTGGTAAGAGCGCCAAGTACTCCCTCATGCCCCTCGCTGCTCTCGCGTATCGGCCTTCGTCGATTCTCGCTAATGGCCCTTGCCTCAATAGTGCATGTGGGCTACATGGAGGGATCTTTGCCTGTCTCTGTGTGAGCAGAGTGGCCGGGACCCTGGGGGGGCGGCGCTGGCACTTTTCACGGCAAGGTTGCACGAGCCGGCGCGCGCGGCGCACACCGTCGTGCTGCAGGCTGTGCTGTACCAGCTCGACCGCGCCGTGGAGAGGCACGCGCTTCTCACGGACCCACTCCTCGCGCGCAGGCCCTCCGCACATAGGCCCATCCCGCGCAGAACCGCCCTGTGCAGACCCACATCTCACAGTACTAGGGTGGTTAAAATAGTGTTTTTTATTGCGCTACCAGTATGCTCATAGTAATAAATGGTTAATACTGATTATATTATGACCTGTTTGCTGCACTAATTGAAATGGCGAGAGCAACACCACGACGGGTTTAGCTTCTTAACTGAGGAACGCAGGCTGCTGTCAAGAGTGGTGATGTGGTCACCTCGCTGAACTTAAAATCCAGAGGTTGCCGTTTCTAACTCCTGGCCGGCAGTTTACCTAATTCCCCTGCCCCCATCCCTCCTCCCTCCAAGAGTGTGGAACAACTAAATACCCTCTAGAGCTCCCTGTCGTGGAGACCCTTCTGCAAGCAGTGACGTAAGTAAGCAGTTGCAGGGCTGGACTTTTACCTTTTTAACTGATAAACGAGGGTGAATGAACCACGCCAGTGACTTATGCTGCCGTGCCCTTTGTACGGTCGTGCGAGCCAATTGGCTCCAATCCAACTGGAATCGGTTCCTCAATTTCATAACGAGTGACCTATTCTGAAAACGGTTACTTGTATCCGGTTCTTGTTGAACACCCCTACCATGGTACCATTTACAGAGCTGTTCATAATCAAGCCATCTTGACGGTGCAACACCTTCACTCGCTCGCTTGCTTTGCTGTGTTGCCAGTGTAGATGTGTGTGTACGTTCCAAGTTGGGGGGGGGGGGGGGGTGGGGGGTGGCATTGCCATGGTTGGCGTGCTGCGTTAATATCCCAGCGACCTGAACTAAATTTTCAATTGTGGCCAACATCTGTGAGGACTATCTGTACCGGTTCCAGGCCTTTGCTAGGTCGACTTGGCCTTAAATCAACACCTGGTGTGGTTTTTTTAGATCAACAATGGGGAAGACAAAGGTAGCCAAGCATTGTGTTGGCCACCTACCGCCTGGTGTGCGGTGCCGGCCTTAATAGGTGCTGCTCGCGAACAGCATTTGCCCCAACAGTCTGCTAAAGGCGACATGGGGGATCTTGTCTCTGTTGACAGCCGTGACACCCAGAGGAACGGCCTGGTGTTTGTGTATGACATGACGGACTCCACCTACCGCAACTTTGACTACGAGCTCTGCGTCAAGATGCTTAACCTACTCAAGGTCGGCTTACACAGTCTGCACACATACACAGTTTGATTCGACTCCATTTATACACGACTTTGATAATCATTTTGAAGCCAAGTTGATGTTTTTGGAACTTAATTTTAGTATGAACAGCATTAAAAGTAATTTGTGAGAGCTAACTTTCATTGCAGGAAATTTGTTTACCGTAATATTTTATCTTTGTGCATGTATATAACGTGCTTATCACTGCTCTGATTTATATTTGCTTCATTGCTGTAGTTTATTTGTTTTGCTTTTGTTGTTGTGGTAACCCAGGTCACTCTTGAAATGAGACTCATCCTGCTCTCAGAGTTCTCACCTTGTTAAACAATCAAACCTGAATGGCTTTTGCTTCCCGCTTATCTGGTATGCCGAGCCTCTGTGCGTTACGAATTATACTGCAGCGTGTGGAGACGGTCTGCATAATCAATGCCGCTGTATGATTTTTCTTGTTGTGGTGTGCAGGGTGCGTTTCCCGCGCGGCTGAAGCGTGTGCTCATCGTGTCATCTCCCATCTGGTTCCGTGCTCCCTTCACCGTCCTGCGTCTCTTCGTGCGGGAGAAGCTTCGTGACCGAGTGAGCCCATCCTCGCGGCACACTCGCAGCAGTAGTAGCCGAGCAAGCACAGTCCTCCGGGCAGCAATATATACAACCTAGAAATTATATATATATGTTGAACTTCTTTCGCACCATACGTAGCTAATTGGAGGTACGAGGAAAGTAAAAATGTGACTTATTCATACTTGGTGGCTCTTGTCCTGATGTTTGACAGTTAGCAGTGAATGTCGTTTATCTACATTTGGTTGAGAATTGTTAAAATTGCCAGTGAGAGCTGAAACTGGTAATTGGTGCATGCAACCCTTGTAAACATGACGACTTAATGTTTGGCTGTTTTTAGTGGTGGAGGGGCTTAACGACGACACGCATTCACCAGATGATTGTGGCCTCACCAAAAATCTATAATTATATAATTAGTCTTCAAATGTGCAGGGTGGCACCGTGTTAATTCTCGCGCCTCACGGCAAGAAGGGATGGGTTTGATTCCTGACATAGGTTACTTTTCTGTTTTGGGTTTGTATGTTTCCCCCTGTTCTGCATGGGATTCTTCCTGGTTCTCTGGTTTCTTCCCACAGCTAAAAACATGCTAAATAACTCGTATTGGCCAAAACAATCATATAGGATTACACAAAGCAACATTGTCTTTTGAAAAAACCTGGCAGGACCCTCCTGAAAAAGAGGCTTGAAACTCGATGAAGATTTCCTGGGTAAACGAGCTTAATAACATTAATAATAAATAATGAATGGTGAGTGCAGTTTTGGTGCCGCTGAGTGTGACATTGTGATTTCTGTCTCCGCCTGCGCCAGGTGTGCACCGTGCGCCTGTCGGAGCTGCAAGCATTTGTTCCCTGCGCATCGCTGCCATCCCAGCTGGGGGGCTCGCTCCCACTTGACCACACTGGGTGGCTGCAGGCCTGCGCCTCGTCCAACTCTGCGTCCACCACTGGCTACACCAGCATGGACGACCTCCTCTTTCTGCCATCCATCTCTAACAACGCTCCGCTCAGCCCCTGCAACAACCAGCGCCAGCCCAACGGCGCGCAGCCGGGTAGCGGTGGCGGTGGTGGCGGCACAGGCAACAACAACGGTAACTATGTCAACAGCACTAGTGTCTCGCGGCAAGAAGCCCCCTGGTTCCGATTCCGGAGTCGGACACCTTTCTGCATGGGTCCAGGGTGTAAACTGACATTGATTGTTTTTTATTTGAATGACCCACAGAGGACCTTGACATACAGAGCACGCACGTAACGACACACAGACATTTAAATGTATTACTTGTACAGTGTGCATTGACAGTGAATATACTACACATTAAATGGGCACCTGGTGCGGCATGTAAACATTGGCACTGGAGAGACAGCGGCCGGTGAGGCCGGTTCTGGTCACGCCATCCTCTCATATGTTCGTCTCGCCGGCACTTGTCCCACTCGTCGGGGTGGGCTCCACGGGAGAACTTTGTCTTCATTTTGTGTGTCCGTGCAGCGGATGGGGAGGAAGGCTGGCTGCATGGTGGCATTGGTCCGGGCCGCACCCTGGAGGAGCTGGTGTACCACCTGAAGGCCGTGAGGAAGCGCGGCATCTACAGCGAGTACGAGGAGATTGCGCGTCAGCCGCCCACCGGGACCTTCCACTGCTCAAAGTGAGACGAGTCTGCTGCACAGGGCCTCTGAGGCAGTGAAACTTGATCCGTCCCCAGTCTGTAATGTAATTAACTATGAGCTAACTATTATTTTGCCAGCTATATAGCTCTCCTTCAGAAGTGACACATATTATGGATAAAAGAAAGTGAAATAATCATGTGGACATTTATAGCAGCCAAATAATCAAAACACTTGTTCCTAAAATGAGTTTAACATCTACATGAGTTTACCATCTAACAGGGCCCGTGCCTATAAACATCTGGCATTGCACCAACATTGGTTCAAAGAAGTCTGGACTGCTGATGAGATACTGAATGTTGAAACTGGTCCAGAGTTTGTGTTAAACCAATGCTGCTGAAAAAAGTTGTCATAATGAAGGCTCTATGTGGCTGATGGGATTTGTGTAATTTTTTACTTTTATTGTCGAGGGACAGATTTTGGAAAGAGGTAAATTATCTACTTATTTTGTTATTCATATTGTCTGCAATGACGTCAATTATTTTCTTGTGACTCCATTCGAGGTGTTTTGAGGCCGAATCGTATGTCAAGCCCCTCTCCCTGCCAGCAGCCGCTTCTCCCAGTCCACAGATCGAACTTGTGAATTTCCTCCCAAAGAGATGATGGCAGGGGATTCCAAAGTGGAGCAGTGCGAGGGGAAAAATCAGAAAGCGAAGTATTGTGATCTGCAGTGTGGTGAATAAGTGGATGTGGGCGAGTGGGCGGCTAAGTGAATGAGTTGTGAGTTTGGTGGTTGCACAGTGTGGATGAGATTAAATAGTCTGGTAACCAGTCCTCAACATGGAATCTACGAGCGAGGTTCATGGGAACAGTAACCATGGTAGTAGCGGTAGCAGTGATACGTAGCGAACTGACTGTCGGTGAGTGAATGAGTGACTGGAGTGAATCATGTACCCCCCCCACCTCTTCCCTCTGCCTGGGGATGACACTGAAAGTGCAGTCCCAGGGATAGACAAATCAGAGCCAGGGAAATCCCCCCCCCCCCCGCCTTGCTGGTGGGTCTGCTGGTGGGTCTGCATGTCTGTCTCTTGTGCGTGGAGTACACTTGTAGATTTAGTCCACGGTCCACAGCCGAAAACCAGCACAACCTTTAGTCGCACACATTTTAAAACTTGTATTTTACCAGGCTTATATGGCTCTTTTTCAGAAACGACCTGGCCACAAATGATAGCTCAATTAAGTGGCTTATGTAGAAACTTAAAGCAACCAAATACTCTAAATGCATGTTGATCTTAAATACGGAGGGGAAAACCGGAGAACCCTGCGACAATGGGGAGAACATGCAAACTGCAAATATACAGGCATTGGGGTCATCATTGGCCTCGTGTAGCCATTGGAACCACTCGTGATGCCACCTCGGTCGGGACCGACAAGCTAGGTATCTGGCCCTGGCTCGTGGACTGTTTGTGCTTGCGGCATCTGACCTCGAGCCCGCTGTTGTGTGTGCCAGGCTGCCGTACAACTTTGGCAAGAACCGCTATACAGACGTCTTGTGCCTTGACCAGTCGCGCGTCAAGTTGGGCTCCTCTGGGAATGACGAGGTAGGAACTTGGGTCCTTAATAGCCGTTATTTTGCATTCACGGTGGCTGCTGCAAACAGAGCAACATCTCGAGCAATGAACATAACTTGTTCAGTTTAACCGAGAATAAAAGGGAAGTGCTGCCACAGCAGTGGAACGGTCAGCAGCACACTGGACTTGCAATCCCGGGGACTGCAGTTGAAAAAATGAGGTCAAGTTAATCCCCTCCTCACCCACCGTGTCTATCGACCCAGCACCAGTGTAAATGTGTGCACCACAAGTTTATCAATCCGCAGAGTCGCACGATGGGTTTGGTTAATTTGTTGTTACGCACATCTTTCAACGCAGTGGGCGGTTAACTTGGCCCACCACCTCTCCGTGGTTTATAAAATGCCTACCACTTTGTGGGGGATGTCAACAGTGGTTTTCCTATAGGTGAACGTAGGAATGTAAAATTCCCACCACTGGCTCTGGAGGGCTGTAATCGGCAGATGAGCCTAAATTCCTCAATGCTCATTTGAGCAGCACAAGTTCACTTTGACTTGCATGTGAACGTTCGTCTGAGTGTGTGTGTGCGCGTGAGGAGCGCTAGTGTAGCGGTTAGCGCGCTGTGCTACGAACCCAGAGGCCCGAGTTCGATTCTCTCTAACGGCCAACACCAATGACTATTATCGCAACCGGTTCTGGGCTTCCCCTAGGTCGACTCGGCCTCATGAGTACCTGGTGCGGTGTGTAAACATCGCCACTCGGGAGACAATGGCGGCCGGGCATGGTGCTGGCCACCCACCCCCTCGTGTGCCGTGTCGGCCTTCATAGGTGCTCTCTAAAAGCACTTGCCCTAAAAGTCTTAAGGCAATACGGGCGATCTTTGTCTTTGTGTCATGCGTAGAAGATGGACTACATCAACGCCAGCTTCATGGATGGTTACAAGCAGCACAACGCGTACATCGCCACGCAGGGTACGATGGGGGCGGGGGGCCAGGGGGGCCGTGTGACTCGCAAACGTCACCTGTGGTTGCATTTGATACGTCCATGTCTGTCGACTCGCCAGTGCAAAATAAGCACCTTGAATCTGTGCAGATGGTTTGGAACCCATTTTTCTACCTAAACATTTACTAAATGTGACCTTGGTTATGTTTGTGCACTGTTTTACATTTAATCCTTGAATGCAATTGTTTTTTATATGATTTCTGTTTGGTTGCTTTTGGTCTGATTTCTATTTTTGTCATTGTTGTGACCCAGCCCACTCTTGCAAATGATACTCAGCCTGGTCTCTTTGAATTCTTGCCTGGTTACACAAAAGAAACCTGAAACATGAGCCTCTGGCCTTGCCTGGCCAATGGCGCGACTCTAGATCGTTCCTAGGCATGGTGGCAGCGCGGTTGTAACACTCACGCCTTGACAAGGAGGGTTCGATTCCCGACTGCGTTGAGTGGTGGGGAGGGGCTTAACGACACGCATCGCTAAACACTCGCCGTTTTCATTCGTGTTTGCCAGACATCCCATTGCAGTAGAGCCCTCGTGAAAAAGTCTTTGGGCTCGGCGTGGCTTTTTTGGGTAAATAAGTAATGGTTATTTATCAGCGCTGTGACTCGGCTAACGCAGGCTCCCCCAGTATCGCCAGTTCTCACTTGAGACGTTCACCATGTGAGGCTTTTCCAGCATCAACTGAAGCAAACCCAGAGCTGGCCCTGTTCGCAGGCCTGCGCAAGGGCGTGAGCGTTTAGCTTTTGTTTGGTTTGACCCAGTGAGAATTTGACGGACCAGGATGATTCTGTTTACAAAAGTGACATGGGGGTGCTGCTACATGCCGTCGGCAGAGCTCGCGCAGTGACATACGCCCGTGTCGCTGTGCGCAGGCCCCATCCCGCAGACCTTTGTTGATTTCTGGAGGATGGTGTGGGAGCAGAGAGTGCAGGTGATCGTCATGACCACGCGGTGAGGGTCACCCCCAGTGCAGCCATCTCATTTCCTCTGTCTCGGTCAAACTGTCACATTGGCCCTGTAAAGTCAAGTAAATTTAACAGTGATCAGCAGGATGGCGCCAGTGTTAACACTTGTGCCTCACAGCGAGAATCCTTTGTTCAATTATCTGTTTGGAGTTTGTATGCTTTTCTCTCTCTTCTGAAGAGGATGACTGTGGGGGGGCGTTAAGTGCTTTGCACTACGAACCCAGCGACCCGAGTTCGATTCGGCTCCCAGCCAATACCAGTGATGATTATATGAACTAGTCCTGAGCCTCCCCTTGGTTGACTCTGCCTCCAATTAGTGTCTAGTGCAGCATGTAAACATGCCACGCACCATGCTCCCCATATAGTTTTGTCGAACTAGGACCCATATCTAACGGAGCCTATAAACACCTGGCAGTTAACCAGCATTGGCTCAAGAAAGTATGACTGCTGATCAGACACTGTCAAAACTGGTCAAGTTTGTGTGTATTGAACCAATGCTGCTGAAATGACTCACGGAAGGAAGGCTGTTTGGCTGTTGGGATGTTTTTTTAACATGGAGGGACAGATATGAAGGAGGTAAATCGTCGGTTTCATTATTTTGTCACATTCTCGACGTGTACGCTTAACTGATGTGTACTCTGGCCCGTGGGCCGCGTGAGCCCCAACTGGAATATGGGAGATTCGTGCGTGCTTATGTAATGGTGCAAAGTGAAGCGGTTTCGATCGCCGTGGACGTGTGGTGTTTGTGTTTCCGTGTACGCACGCCCTGCTCAGGGTGGTGGAGAGGGGCCGCGTGAAGTGTGGCCAGTACTGGCCTCTGGATGCTACAAGCAGCTGCACGTTCGGCCCTTTCACGGTCACCAGCCTGCATCTGGAAAAGTTCCAGGACTACAACCTGACCACACTTGAAGTCCACAACATGCAGGTCATTCTGGTCATTCTGATGGCCTTCCTCGTTGGTTATTCTGACTTTTTGGGGGGTTTTTTTCCTGAAGCTGGTGTGATTTCAAATGAAGCAATGCATATCTAATTGCTGCCAATTATTTCTTTGAGAATTGCTCTTTAGCTTACCAGTGAGTTTGCTGAAGCAACAATTGTGTCCTTAAACGTTTGCACATGTGACAATTTATTGTTTGACTTTTGGGTGGTGGAAGGGATACGTGGCCTAACCTAAAAATCAAATGTGAATAAGGCACGTCTTGAATGTGGTGTCGCTTGTCATCTAATGATGATGATTTTGTTTTTGATTGAGCTGCCTTCCTCTGTCCGGGGCATTTCAGCACCCTACACAACAATGAGCGACTTGCATCACATCTCATTCATTTGAACCGCGAACCTCTGCAATGAGCGCACCGCTACTGGGCTCATCGCCGTCAGACGGTGTCTGTGCAACGGTGCTGTGCGTGCGTCTGTGTATAGACGGGAGAGACCCGCGAGGTCGCGCACTACCAATACATGAGCTGGCCGGACTTCGGGGTTCCTCGATCGGCGCTCGGCATGCTTGACTTCCTGGCGCACGTGTCGCGGCACCAGGCGGCAGCGACGCAGGCACTGGGGGGTGAATGGCGCGGGCACCCGGGGGGGCCACCCGTGGTCGTGCACTGCAGCGCCGGTATCGGCCGCACCGGTACGCACATACTGGGCCTGGGCCACGAGTACAGATCGACTTGGCCCACTCACTCACTCGCCCAAAAGCAGCCATGGTAGATTTAACTGTGACCTTAGCTCGTTGATTCCTCCACCTATTTTGAGGAATCTGGCATACCAAACATTTGTGTCATCCACACCGTTTTCAACCACCACACTGCAGATCACAACAACTCGCTCAACCAATCATTCACTCACTAACCCAGTCATTGACCCTATCAATCACCTACCCACTCACTCCACTGCAGATCACAACATTTATCTTTCTTGCTTCCTCCCTCACACTTCTCCACTTTGGAATCCCGTCACGATTTCTTTTCCCAAGACTTTACAATAGGGTTGCTCCGTTCAAGAGACATGTTAACACTCATCTCTGACAGCTTTGATAGTGCTGCTTATATTACTGGCCACTTGATGTGTTGGGCATGTGCTTATCAACTTTATTTTAAAAGCCTTATCCAATAAAAATAAAAAATTACCAGGTAAGGCCCACTGAGCTATGCAGCTCTCTTTCAGAAGCAACCTGGCTATCACAAATTATAGCTCAATGAAATGGCTTATCATATGGAAATTTAAAGCGACCAAATACTCTGCATATTTACACATGATCTCTCATTTCCTTATATTTTCAGGGAAGATGCAGTCCAAAAATTTTTTCAGGATGGTCCTGCTTCATTGGGATGTTTACTCAACACCAATTACTGTGCTAGTTTTTAGCTGTGGGATGAAACCAGAGAACCTGGTTGAAACACATGCAGAACAGGGGAATAACATTCAAACTCCTTGCAGAAAGGCGCCCAAGTCAGAAATCGGACCCAGGTCCTCATGAGGAACAAGTGTCACCGTTCCGCCACCCTGCCACCGGCATTGTGAATCGTAATATTCCTATAAACTCCTCCTGTATTACCATATAACGCAACGTGACACGACACGCGATGCCGCACGTGTTTCTCCCCCCCCCGTCGTGAATCTGAAATCGGGCCGCGTGCTTCCCGCAGGAACGTTCTGCACGCTGGACATCTGCCTGGCAAGGTTGCGCGAGGTGGGCACAGTGGACGTGGCGGGCGCGGTGCGGCGCATGCGCAGCCAGCGCGCGTTCTCCATCCAGACAGCCGACCAGTATTACTTCTGCCACACGGCACTCATCGAGCACGCGCAGCGCGCCGGCCTGCTGCCCGCGCACGTAGAGTGGTCTCCCAGCGACATCGACTCCGACAGTGACTAACCAGGAGCCCGGCCGCACCAACCAGACTCGCTCGGCGAATGGACACGCACGCACGGCCCGGTGCGGCGCCGCGGCCTCCATGTGACGGGAGGCAGCGCCGCCGCAGACGCAGGCCCCGCCGCTCGGGCGAGCACAGCCCACATCGTCTGCATTGTGTCTCGTGTATAAACGCAACAAAACCCGGGTCACACGTATACTTTTGCCTTTTTATTATGTGCCTTTGAATCCTTTAACGCAGTCTTGCAATCATACTGATGGGCGGAGGTTGGTTCTGGTTATATTTCCCAGTATGTAAATACTGTGTACGATATATGTGTGTATACATATGTGTACGGTGGTTGGACTGTGATCATGTGAGTGTTCTGAATGCAAAGAGTTCATGCATTGTACTCGTGGGTGGGGTAGGTCAAAACTGGGGACAGTGTGGGTTGGCGGAGGGAGGGGGTAGCGTGTGAAAGTGACTAGACAATACTTGTGCGTATCTGCTCCCAGGAATCCTACACGTGTCTGTGTGACTGTCGCGATTCGGGGTCGATTCCTACAGAACGGGGAAAGTCTGTGGGGTCTGTTCGCTCCTCGTGTCGTCCAGTGGGGAAGTTGGTAGTGGCCGTATGAAGAGAAGGGCCACGGCCGGCACCGACCCGTGACGACATTCTGTGTTGCCAATCGGTAGAGGTTGCGTGTTTTGTAACCGGGCGGCATGTGTTTGTGAGCGTGGGTCTGTGCCGGAGACGGCGCCGGTTCTCGCTGGGCCTTGTCGCTTGACGGAGTCCAGGGCGCCCACTCTTTTGTCTGCTGGCTGCTCAAGAAGGGAGTGGTGTTGAGACAAGCGTGAAGGCCTTTTTTACAGTAACTAATTTCTTTTGTATTTTCGTCGTGTACTCAATAGACGTCTGTGCATTTACATATTTAGAAAGTATAATCTCTATACTGTTGCGTACTATGGTAGTCGCTGAAGGTACCTTAACAGGAAGAAATCCGGTAATTGATAAAGATTGTTCACAACAAGACTTTAGTTGTAAGCCTTTTATTTATTGCTACTTATAATAATAATAAAACGTATACTCTGGCATTCCGCAGTCGCGTATGCACATTAAAGGGATTTCCAGCCGGGTTGCTCAGTGGTGGAGCGAGTGGCTTGTAATTTGAAGGCTAATGAGTTCAAACCTCAGGGGGGAGACTTGCCCATCATCCCTCTGGGGTTGATAGACTTAGTCCACTTTGTCAGGATTCAACAGGTGGTTGGCCTATAAAGCAACTCGCCCCATTTGAGCAGAAACTCATTTTGTTGAAAGCATCACACTGCAATGTCTTAAGTGAGAACAGTCTAAAGGCTCGGGAAGGTCCTGCTACATTGAGATGTTTGGCTAATACAGCGTACATGTTTTGGCTATGGGTGGAACCTGAAACCAATGTAAAACAGGGGCAGAACGTGCATCGCACAGAAAGGTGCCAAAATCAAACCCAGGTCATTCTGACTCTCAAGTGTTGCCAGTATACCACCATGAGGCTGAAGTTGGTGTCTTATTTGCAGCCCAATTTTAAATAAGTAGCTGGGGATTTCACTGGTGAAATGGCCTTGGGCGATGAATTTCAAAGTGGACATCTCAAGAAGAGAACCCCTCTGCGAGCACCAATCAGATTTGGCACGGCCCAACGTGGATATCGGTCTCGCAAGGGGTGCCAATTGTGGAATGGGCAAGGACCGTTTTCTAGATTTTGTACCGCTGGCGTTTCACAGAGTTGACACGTTATTCCCCATGCCTTGCCGCCATCGCTGTCCTTAAATGCGAAACACGAATGCATTCCATATCGTTCTATATTTGTTCGAATTGTGAAAATAACCAACTCCTTACAGAAACAAGTGTACACCGTCTACTAAAATGTACTATACAGCATATGTTACATGGTTAAGACAGATCAATATTTGTACAAAATTCACATCAACATTTAGAAGTTGATGTTTATTCTGTGGCCCACAAATACCGTGCAGCTCATGTAGCATAAGAATACTTACTGTGACTACTTAAATAAAGGTGTCTACATTACTTGTACTGAATGTACGATGGGTTTGTATCCACGGAGTGACCGAGTGATGCAATGTAAATTAATCTCAATTTTGGAGCTTTTGTGACTGCAGGAATTATTCTTTGGTTCTTTCGGTTAAGTCATGTATAAAGATAAAATAATAAATTAAATAATAGCATACTACAACGTTTCGACTGCTTGTGTTGCAGTCGTAACGTCGTAGTATGCTATTTAATTTATTTTATCTTTATACGTGACTTAACCGAAAGAACCAAAGAATAATGTAAATTAACTTGCACCAGTTCTTGGTTCTGCTCGAGCTCTTGGATCACACCTGCACTGTACCAACAACCTGACGTTAACTTGGGGCCTCCCAGTCCCAAATAAAGGGTGATCCATTTGGCATGGTCACTTGCATATTCACTGCATTGCTATACAAAGTGAAGGAATACGGCACGCACAGCTGATCTATCGCTGGGAATCTGTGTGGTCATCGGCATGACTTAACGCGAAGGGCGATCTGCAGGTGACCTGTTGGTGTGTTCCTCGTGTTTGGGCCTCAAGCCTTGAACGTCTTTGAGCGTGACAAGTGTCATCCGTCCAGTGATTTTGTGTGGGAGGCATCAACAAAGCTTGGCTCTTTTTTTGTTCCAAACTCCATTTTAAAATGCAAACTATTCAAAAACACGTTAGGATAGTGGTCGGCAACTAAAATAAAAGCAATTCATTTTCGAATTCCGTAAAAAAAAACCTCTTAAATAGCCACAATGCATGTGAATGAGACTTCTTAACTTCATGAAGTAATCTTTAAAGCCGCCTACGGGTTCTGGAGCCGCAGTTTTCCGACCCCTGCGCTCGGCCAAAGTGCTGTATGTTAATGGACACTTTACACATTTGCCCTTTGCTCAGCAAGTGTGCAAAGGACAAATTTATCGGAATGTTTTTATTTATTCCGACTTTTAAATGAAAACCTAACTGACGATATGACACACTTGGGACATAACGAACTCTGCAAGGGTGCTCTGGAAAGACCGTGCTCTGGAGTGTGTTGCTGCTGCTGCTTGTCCTTTGGTCATTCGGCTTTCGTGCCTGTTGGGGTAAAATCCCAGAAATGCATCTTGCAAATAACATCAGAGCACAGCACAACAAAATTAAAAAGAATATACAAGGGTTATCCTTCCGTATGGCTAAATCAGAATTAGATGTTGATTTTTGAGGTTGGTTCGGCACTGAAATGCGGAATCCTGAATTTTGTGTAGTACTGGCGTGTCTCCTCCGAACCTCTCGCGGTGGTGAAATGTTAACTACCTCACTTGGTATACAGGAGGTCGTGGGTCCCATTCTGACGCCTGTTTATTTTGAGATTGCGTGCCTATTTCTCCCCGTGGTCGCGCGGATTTTTTTTCCGGGTCCTCCGGTTTTTCCCACCACATTTAGAAGCAACATGCGTTTAGAGAATTTGGCTTGCTATAAATATCCACATGATAAGCCATTTCATTGAGCTATCATTTGTGATAGTCAGGTCACTTTTGAAAAAGAGGTGCATGGCTCGGTGGACTTCAGAGGCGTAGCTAGGATATGTTGCGCCCGGGGACGAACTATAAAATTGGCGCCCCCCCCCCCCCACTGTTTAATCACATTTTCCTATTACATCGAATAAGGAATAACAATTTAAATTTTAATGAAACATTGTATTTAAAGAAGCAAATTTATAGAAATTATATTACATGGCTCACTCAGTCACTATCGTAGACTGGGTGACATAGTCTACAAAAGATACAATTTTCTTGATTTCACTGTCGCAAACTGGTCAATCGCGTAATCAAAATCTGTTTTTTCCAATGTTTCTCTTTCAACGCTAAGAAGAGCAAGATCGCTGAGATGATCTTGTCCCATTGAAGCACGCAAATACGACAAAATAAGTTTCAATTTTCTGAACGACCGCTCACAGCTTGCAATTGAAACTGCTATTGTTAATAAAATTTGCAGTGAAATTCGCAAATTCGGAAATATGTCGTCTCCATAAAACACAATAAAACCAAGAAGATCCAAAGGAGTTTCTGGTAGAACTTCATTCCGGTTACTGAGCAGCATTTTGCAATCTCCAATTTCTGTGAAAAGTTCGTGGCAAAATCTGTGCAATTTCGACGAATTGCATTGACATCTGTGTCGGATAGAAGAGTTTTGACGTCCAGCAGAAATCCAAATTTTGTGTTCAGGTCTTTTAGTCGTAAAAACCGTGTTGATATCTCCTGTTGAAGTCGATCAAATACGCTCTTCATAACGCGCACAATTTCTTCTTCTGCTGAAAGTCCTGCATCTCTTACCAGTTCTCTTGGCATCTTCGGACGTCGCCTAATTCTTCTGTCCACATCTATCCCCCAGGCTGTGCATCTTGTTTTGGCGTTTTCTACAGCAACTTGGCTCAAATTATCACGAAACTTGACAAATTCATGCTCCAAAGATTCAAGATCAGTTGCTGCTTCCTTGAAATTCATAGTAGAATCCTGTAAGCGCTTCTGAACACGATCAATTTTTCCAAGAATGACATTCCAGAAATGTAATAAAACTATGAAGTTAAAACTTAATACGCATGCCTGTAACTGTTCTGCATCACTTCTGGTTTCAGGCGTCATAGTTACGTCCTCCGATAATTTGTCTAGCAGCCCTACTAGTTCATCCAGTCCTTCATAGATAGCTTTAACAGCTTCTGATCGCGCACTCCAGCGTGTTTCAGACTCCCGCTTTACTGTGATGGGCACAGCTTTTTTTAACTCTTCCCAACGAATTGTTGAACGAGAGAAAAACAAATATATACTTTCAACTGTTCCAAAAAATGTGACAAGTGGATCCTGTTTAGCTGAGTGTACTCCTGCTAAGTTTAAGCTGTGGTTGTCACAGTTGACTAACAATGCTCTGTGATTTTTGTCACTTATTCGTTGTTGAAGGCCGGATATATGCCCAATCATCACAGCAGCATTGTCATAACATTGTGCCCGACAGTCGGCTAGAGGTATGTTGTCAGATTTCAGTCTCTCGACGATGACTCTTTCTAGGCTTGCCGCATCTTTTGCATGTATCTCGATACAACCTAAAAATGATTCTTTGATAGTTACTTTTTTAGTTTGAAAATCCACATCCACAAATCTTTTGACCTGAGAAAGCTGTTCCCGATGTCCTAGATCAGGAGTTGAGTCAAGTAAGACACCGTAGTACTTGTTTTTCCTGATATCACTGAACAATTGGTTCTTTACAGTCGACGCGAGTATGTGGATAAATTCATTCTGGATTTCCGGTGACAAATAAGAAACTGATCCCGGATTTTCTCCTGCGTGCTGTACGTGTTTTGCTAACAATGGGTCATACTGAGTAACGAGTTTGATCAGCGCGAGAAAGTTTCCAACATTTTTATCCTCATCCGCATTCAAATTTTCCTCATGGCCACGTAGTGCCATGAGGAACGTTTTTCCAAATGAATCTGAGCTTGAACCACTGCGTCAATTCCAGTACCATCAATTATCCTTCGGCTTCCTTCCATGTAGTAAAAGCTGTGCGGTGGCTAGGATTGTTTTCATGAGAATTTAGTTTTTCTGACTTTCTCCACTTGTTGAAACCGTTTGTTAACTCAAACGAAGCTCGTGAGTTTGAACTCGATGATGTAAATAATAGACAACAGAAACAGTAAGCAGCTTTATTGATTGGTGAATATAATAGCCACGAACGATTCACTTCATCTCCGTTCGCTAGTTGGTGTTTCAACTATGCTGATGTAATTGAACGTTCTCTGGATACTGATGATAGAGTGTCTCTGTGCTGAAAAGGCAAGGATCCGAGAGTAATCATTTCATTGCGAAGAGGCTGTGATATTTTCGATAGCTTTGTCGTTTTATCAAATTCTAAGTAGCCAACATCGTGAAACCTTAGTACAGCAGGAACAGCATCATGAGTATTTTCAGCTTCTCTGTCAGAAGATTCTTCTATCTCATCTTCCCCGTTACTGTCAACAAGTTTATCATCATGTTGAACCTGTTCAACGACGACGCCCTGCTCTTCAGTGTTTTCGGAGTCTTCCTCAGCATAGACAGTAACATCTGTCTGAACCATGTTTTTCTCCGAGTCCTCAATGTCTTCAACCTTCTCGTTTACATGCTCTGAAATAGGTGATTCTGAAGAGTTGGAGTTTGCAGCTTCAGCTTCTTTCTTCTTGGCTTTCTTTAAAAAGCTAGCCAGTAATGTACTTGACTTTTTTGATGCTATTTCAGCTTCTTTTTTTCTTTTACGACATTGAGCTCCACTTCGTTTTCTTCTTGACATGGCTGACAAAAATTATAAATATATTTTTATATCACTGAGTACACTGAAGTGAAAAAAATATGTGTAGGCCTAGACAATAACATAGTGGCATTGGCATAGTGCTACTACAATAAATAATTATTCTAATAATTAGGCTATAAATGCAGATTAAAAGTGCATAATTTATACGCTTAAAGGCAGATTATGCTGCAGATATTTAAAAATATCTATATAATAAATTGTATTCTATATTTTAAAAAAAATATTTTATTTATCAAAAAATATCAAAAACATACCTCTTGTTGTTCAAGTAACCAAAATAGGTCACCGCTTTGGACGCCACCGCCTATAAGCTTATACTGTCGGTCGTACGCGGCCATGTAACAGCATAGACTTACCCGCCGAGGTTGACGCTCGTCCGGTGGCTTGTAGTCGTGGCACGGTGGTCTAGCTAACACAGTAACACTCTCACTTGGTGTCCGCCAGCGAGCATGGCTCGGCTCTTAGGTCAGTTCAAATATAAGGTACGAGCGACGTACACGTATAAGTGAGCCTTGTAGTCAATGCTGCTAAATGAAGGCCACGCTATGTTGACGTGCGTGGGCTGCTCCGGCTGCTGCAGCCACCTGGAGCGTGGTGTCACTAATAAGAACTAAAAATAGGCCGTCGTAGTTTCCGCCACCAAAAAACAGGCCAGTGACTAAGGCTGAAAGACTGCGCCTGTTTGTTGTTT